CTGATGATGGTTCTCAAGGAGAGTCGATATATAGAATATATATGTAGGTGTTTAAAAAACAATTAAAATAAATAAAATACTTTTTTATTATTTACTTATAAAGTACATGCAAAACAACATGCAAAAAAAAACCACGCATATTATATACTCAGTCAGACACAATCAAAGAATTCAAAGCCGTGTATCCTAGCCAGCATAAACAATCGCCAAACGATAATATTCGCCGAAGAATGATAACTTACTACTCGCATGTGTTAAGGCTCAGTTAGACGGTAAGTAACGTAAGAAATTAATTCAAAACGAAATGCGCAATCAACCAAACCTGCTTATTTGATAGGAACAAAATAAACAAAAGCGGCGAACATTATTTATTTCGTTCCTATCAAATACTCAGGTTTGATTGATTGCGCATTTCGCTTTGAATTATTTTCTTACGTTAATTACCGTCTAACTGAGCCTTTATTGTTTGGGTATGTTATTAACCTAGCTAGCATAAACAATAGCCAAACGATAATACTCGGAAAAAAATGATTACTTATTGCTCGCCTGGGTTATTGTTTGGGTATTGTTATTAATTATTCTAATAACTATTATTATGTTGAAGCTATTAAAGCCAGTGCACTTGAGCACTTTTACTCTTTATTAACTCGAGGTGTCTTCAAAATCTCTCTTTACGCCTTGACTTTGATAAGGAAATTTCGATATCTTCCATTTAATGATTTCGAGCACGACACAAAATTATTTTTGGTAAATTATCCGCCAAACGTGATGCTGTACCATACGGAGTCTATGAAAAATGGTAGAGTATTCTGATGACAATATTTTTAATGCTGTTTCGTCAGCATTATGGTGTATTTTTTAATTTAACACCGCTATACTGTTTTAAGTTCAAAGATAAAAAATACTCAAATGCAGACACCAATATGTCTGGAACATTAAAAAAGCAGCTTTTAGTGATTGGAACATCGAAAAGTCCGCAATGTTTTCAGAAAGTTCACTATTAGTCAGTTGAATACAAATATAATACAAAGGCATAGATAACGTCAAAACTTTTTGAGAAATGAGTAAGTGATTGGGTAAAGGTCTTACAAAAGAATAAAGAAAAATATGTTTTAAACTTTCCTACTCATCGTTATGTTAAAGATTTTAACCCAATCAAACTGTTTTTTTTTGTCATCGAACGTTACATCAATATTACAGCCTATGGATCAAGACATAAAATCATTGAAGACGAATTATCGAAATCGACAACATTGATAATTTCAAAGAGCCAAAATTAAATCTTTCGCAACAATTTTAATGTTGAAAGGATCATGGAATGATGTGAAACCTAATACAATCTCAAACTGTTTTCACCATGCAGGCTTCGCTGAGTGTCCATTATTAATTGAAATGAATACAATATCTTCATCGTCTGGTACGCCACACAGGCTTTCGTCGAAACTGTTGAAAATGTAGTAGGCTTTGACGATAATCGTTATATATGCCAGGAATATAACAACGACGCTATTTGAACATCTATTACTGCTGTACAAGACGAATGTTAAGATGATAGCAATAACCAAAGCGATAATACACCCTTTGAGTGTCCTCTAATAGCTAAGGCCTGCGAAGCGTTTAAGGTTTTGTAAAAATACTTATTATTTAATGAATTTTCAAGTAATTATTCTGTATTAAATGGTCTATCTTACATAAGAAATAATTTATTTATTCAAATCAGTATGTATTAATTCAATTTGATTTTTTCCTATAAACTCAATAATTTATCTTAAATTTGTATTTTTTTGTATCATATAAACAATTTATATCATTTATATTTATGAGATTTGATTTATATTAAAATGAGAATAAAAGATATTTATTAAAATATTGCTTACAACGATTTGCGATTATAGTGACTTATTTCTGCCGGTCGTTTGAGGTCGTTGTAAACTGGAAGATTGAGATCATCAACAAGTTTTATAATAATCGGATTCTCTCCCACCCGAATTATTTCTGCGAGTTCGTTTGAGGTCGTTGTAAACTGGGAGATTAAGATCATCAAAGACTTTATCAACGATCTTTATCATCACCGGATTGTTTCCCATGCGACTGAGCAAATAAAGATAAGTGAGGGTGACACCTGATGGTAGCAAATATGAGCTGAGTAAAATAGTTGCTGGTTCCTTAATATCATTAATAGAGACATTTTGTAACGTTTCCTTGGCATAAGTACTTGCATTACTTGCTACCGTTTTGAAACGCAGAAGAGCTTCCTGCAAATAGAGAAATATTTAAATATTTATATTTTAGATATATAAAATTTTTAATATTTTCAAATAAGGTGAACAGCGTTTACACAAATAAAAAAAGTTAAATAAAGTAACTTAAAATCTATTATGGATTAATAACATAATGACATCCAATATGAAGCATGTAGCTGATTAATTAAGTGATGCAGAAAACTTACAAAAGCGATTTAAAATCAAAAATCTTTCCAATTATACATTTATAAAATATAGTAAATACTAATAATTTGAATTATAAACATTATTGCTGTTTTTTTTGAGAAGACTTTCAGCTAAGCAGCAGATAAGAAATGACCTCACTTGATTAGCAAAAACTAATTGAATCTAAGCGCTTATCACCTCAAAGTAACTTTATATATTTTATCTGTTTTAAAAAATACCAAAAACTTACAGCAATCGCACATACTAATTTCCATAGATACGACAAAAAACGTTTCCAATCAAATTTATTTTCATCTTCCATAAGTGTTTTTTGCAGGACACCTGATAAGCGATTGCCTTCGCATCTCACTTGATGTTTGTACAGAAAATGGCGACCACATAACGCTACGGAAACTCCAAATCCACCAAATATTAGTGTATGCCTTGATAAGCCATTACTCTTGCTTGTTCCCTGTGTGCTCCTATGTGTTTTTGTTTCCAAATTTCGTACCAATTTATTAATACTTTTCAGCCTGGCACTAAAATCTCGGGCAGTGTTTATTTTTGTATGTACATGATATCTGGGCAGTTGTAGAAATTGACTTCTGTAAAGAAACATAAAATGTTTTAACAATATTTCTATGGAAATTTTTTGGTATGACATAATCCTGCCTAGCAGTTTACCTTCGTCCGCAACTTGACACCAACAAACCCAACATTATTGTCACCTTTTCAACACACCTCAGATAAGCACTTCGATTTTATTTTATTTTATTTTATTATTAGTTTTATATGTTTTGCACCAATTGATTTTTTTTATCGTTCGTTAATATTGTTTATAAAAATTTTGTTAAAAATGACAGATAAAATCGTTGCTAAGCCAAACAAAACTTCTGTAACAATACACAGCTAGAATTCAAATGCATTAAGATGCTTAGTTGATCAACACGGCGAGATATGCATGCACAATTTTCAAATGCAAGGTGGACTTTACATGAAATTTACAAGGAGTTCTGACGAGGATCTCTCAACTCACCACACTCACAAATCTTGCAAAAGATCGTTTCAAAAATGTTTAAATATATATTTTTTATATTTATATACATTGAATAAAAAACAACTTTACGCGTATATATCAAATGTTTAACTACCTTTATATTTATATTTTCGTTTCTTAAATACTAAATCTAACATGCTATTCCGTTTAAAAATGTTACGCTTTAATTAGCTTGGGTTTTACTCACTGGTAGACAGTCCATTATTTGTATAACACAACCTTGTCTGCCGTCATTGTTTAAATTATCCGTTATTCCTTTTCTTTTGTTTACACATATTTTATTTTAAACTGATCCTTTTGTGTGTGAAAAAACTCGTGTTAATGAAATATCTTAATGTCTATTCTTTTAAATATTTCTAATACTTTACTACTTTATGGAAAAAACTCGTGCTTTTATTCTAATATGTAAAGATCGGGAAAATCCTAGATCATTAAATGATTTATATGAGTTTTATTTAAAGTTAATGTATAAACAATCATGTTTTGCTATTTTGATGTATAATATGCGCAGATACATGTTCAAATTTAAATATATACAAGTATATGTGTATGTATATATAAGTTACAAATTGTATTTTCTTTTAAATAAAAATAAAACACAACCGATTCATTTGATTGAGTTGTATTGAATGTATATCATGAAAATAATAACTTATGTCTAAACCTTAACATTTGAGCATCACTTTCAGTTCTCATCTAAACATTACCATAAAAAGCAGTGTTTCACAAGAGATACATTAATCCTGGGCTTGCAATTTGCAGGCGTCATTTCCAGCCTTTGTTCTACTGAAGTTATATTCACAATAAAATAAAAGCGTGGAAGTGTATGCACTACATTATATATTAAACATGTATTTAATTATATATATTAAGATATAAAACGTAATTAGATATTAAACAACATGGTGTTTATTAATATATATCACGACATCATAGCTACTATAGGGCATAGTACTGTCTTCACTACCGAACATATTAATACCATTTACACTAACAACAATAATGATTGCGCTACTGCCAGTGCTTACAGACCTTATAATAGGCAAACCTCATAAGAGGTATGGTTGTATGAGAGTAGTATAAAATTTCATCAAATTTATAATAATTTCGAAGAAGAAAGTCAATCATTTATTTCACGGAAAATATGCACAAAAACAAAGACTATGCATTAACTTCAGAAATATTGCCCCACCTACCCTTCTATATGAAATCATTTAGTAGTGTGCAATAAGTATGAAGATTGGAAGAAGTATTGGTGGTCAGCACCAAACAGCTCTTCTTCGTCTGTGACTGCCAATCCAAGGCTTATTGTGCTTTTAGCTGGCTATTCAAGCTGACTGCTATTAAATCAAAGGGAGTCATATTTTTTCTACATTCGCAATCTATACATTATTTTCCTTTCCTATTACTATTGCTATTGTTATTCTTATAAAAAAAAAATTATTTTTAAAAATGAAAAAAAAATAAATTAAATTAATATTTATTTGCATCCCAATCACTAGTATAAGATACTGCCTACCGTAAATTATAAAATATTTTTGACGCCATATACAGCGTATAAATAAATATTATTCCTCCTAAACCATTCCAAAAAATTCTTGATTTTTGATGCGAAAAGAGCAAACATCGTTCTCAACCTAAACAAGAAGATGAAAGACACTCTCTGGTGCGCTAACAGGACACGCCATTGGCAATAAACACCTACACAAAATAGATATATCCGACACAAATATTTGCAGAATCTGCTGTGATGAGGAAGAGTCTATGGAATATCTGTTCACCAACTGTGATGATTACTCAGTATACGAAATGTCTAAATACAAAGGGGTGCACAATAGATAAACCTGGTCGCAGTGCATAAAGACCTTAGCCTAACCTATAAACCATTACCATTTACTCATCTAAGCATATAAATTTATCAAATGTATAATTTTGTGCCTTTACGTATATGGCTGTATGAACTCACTTATGGGGTGTTTTCACTTTGTCATTTTAAGGACGTGTGCGAGATAGGCTAAGTTGATGCTAAACCAAATGGGACTTTTCTTGGGATTTTTTGCACTGCACACATTTAGCCATTTATCAACAGGTATCGACACATCACTACATTATCGGCACAACTTAGAATTTCAATAATTTAGAACGCAACTTAGCCTAACTTGCACGCGTCTCAAATAACAAAAGCATTGTCATAATTGACTGGTGTGTCATATGTGTTTTCATTACATGCCAAAGTATGACGCAAAGACGATAATGTAGTTTCTGTCAAAAAATCGCATTGAATTTTACTCTTTTCACTTGGAAATTATTCAACACATAATTCACTTCTCAAAAATGACAAGAATGTCATCATATGATTACTCATTTTCATTATACTGACAATATTTGACATTGAAAATGACATAGAAAATGACAAAACGAAGCATTATTAAAATATTTCTGTAAATTTATCAATCAGCACATACAGCTATTAGTAGCACTTTTTATATCTGCAATAACAAATATTTAGCCAATGTCGTTGCAATATAAAATATTTGTGTAAACTTTATCAATCAGTTATTTCGAATTGTGCGAAAAGTCTAAACTAAAATGATTCAAAAAGGTATTTTTATAAATGACTTGCTTGTATTAGAATGCAACTATGCATTGACTACAAATAAATTTATGCCATAAGTTTATTCGGTAAAATGTTTATGTAAATTATATTTTTGTAAATGATTTTTCATTCAAAATTTGACAGTTAACTTGTTATGTTAACAAATTTATATGATTATAAAGTTCATAAGTATTTATCAATTTAGATAAGTACTTTAATTATTGAATTTGTTATGAATAAGAACTATTAAAATATTAATCACTTAAAAAATATATATTTATAATAATATTTAATTCATTCAACTCAATAATTACCATCTCATGTTATACGATTAATACTCACCACTGCTACGTTTTCACCACTCAGCAGCAGTAAAATTATATGTCACATAAAGTCCACCTTGCATTTGTAAATTTTGCTTGCACTCTCGCCCTGTTCATCAGCTGTTCACCTTATTAACGCATTTGTGTTCTAATTGTGTTTTGTTACTGATGTTTTGATTGGCTAAGCAAAAATTTAATCTATCATTTTTAACAAAATTTTTATAAACAAATTAATATTAACGAACGATAAGGAATATCAAAAAGTGAAAATGATATAAAACTAATTGTAAAATAAAATTCGATGATATACATTACATAACAAAAGCATATCTAAGGTGTGTTGAAAAGGTGACAATAATGTTGGGTTTGTTGGTGTCAAGTTGCGGACGAAGGTAAACTGCTAGGCAGGATTATGTCATACCAAAAAATTTCCGTAGAAATATTGTTAAAACATTTTATGTTTGTTTACAGAAGTCAATTTCTACAACTGCCCAGATATCATGTACATACAAAAATAAACACTGCCCGAGATTTTAGTGCCAGGCTGAAAAATATTAATAAATTGGTACGAAATTTGGAAACAAAAACACATAGGAGCACACAGGGAACAAGCAAGAGTAATGGCTTATCAAGGCATACACTAATATTTGGTGGATTTGGAGTT